CCCACCCCCACAAATTTTTATCGTTGTGGCCAAAAGGCGGAGCCAAGATTTTAAATTTATGAGTTCGAGATTTAGCCCTTTTAAGTTATTGGATTCTAAATTAATATTAACAACAACAATTCAGTTTAATATCACAAGTGTAATTCCACAAGTAGAATCTGGAGAGTGGAGAGATAGAGACTGTTTTCGATAGACCATCGGCTCAAAGAAATCAAAATCACAGCAATTGTGAAAAAGAAATATAGTAATGTAAAGGTCATGGAAATGGAAGTAATAACAACAACAAGATAATATGATAGCCATAGCTAAATTAATACTAATTTGTATATATTAAATGAATTTTTTAAAAACAAATACAAAATTTAGATCAAAATTAATGGGTTTTGTCTAACCCCTACATTAAATTCTACCTCCGCCCCTACTGCAGTGGTAACTGGTAACACAAGTTCTATGTTAATTTCTTGTCTACCTTTGTTGAATTTTGATCAAATTGTAAAATGATTTTCTATATAGGAGTGGGACTGTGGGAGGAATATAGACTCGTTTATTCACTCCCTTGATTGATGCCAGCGGATAGAACTTAACTCTTCTTGAATTCACATCCACAAATGCTGACCTGCAATAACCTAATTATCCGATGATTCAACTTGGTATACACCCGAATGAATAAATTGGCAAAGAGAAGGAAAAAAAAAACGAAAAAGCTCGTGCAATTGAGGCGGACCCATGATTTAAATTTAACATGTACAAAATTAAGAGTGTTTTTCTTACATTTTCACATATATATTGTATACCATTTATGTCAAATATGAGAGCTACTTTTTGTCCTTCTCTTGTATATCGACAATGTATTAACTCTTTCACAATAATACAACAATATACCCAGTATAATTCTACATAATGGGATCTGAGGAGGTAGTGTGTGTAGACCTTACCCTTACTTTGTGAAGGTAGAGAGTATATTTCTAATAAACCCTCGACTCAAGGAAAGCAAGCACAACAATAATAAAAAAAATACGGTACTGTGAATGAAAAAGAAACAGTAACAACAGTTAGATAATAGATAATAAGATGGCTGAAGCGAAAGAAACAATAATTAGTAATAGAGTTGTGTTAACTCTTTTGAAATTCATAAATTGCAGGAAGTTTGGACACTATGCAGAATATTCAAGAGGACTTCCAATTACAAGAGATTCACACCAGATTGGAAGCAGCCCATTATTGAACAAAGTTTTGGTGATGCAAGTTCTAAAGCATGCAGTCTTCAATCTGAAACAAGTGATAATCACTCTATTAATATCAACTTCAAGAAGATGGAATTTCCACATAAGAACAATAATACAGCAATTGGAGGAAATTATCAAGTTGATCAAAGAACCACTGATTACAATAATAGCCAACCAATAATTACCATGCCACAATCTTCAATCACATCATCAAACTCAAGCTTTTGGAATACAAGTGCTGAAGAGCAGTATTTGTTTAGTGATGGAAACTGGGATGAACTTAAATCGGTTGTTGATTTAGCTATTGATCCTCGTAGTCTTTTTGGATTTAGATAAACTGGACGAGGACTGGGTACAAAAATTGGGGCTTGAACTGAGTCAGTGGTGAATTCAGAATTTAGAGTCAGCGGGCTCTCTTCTTTATCTATGTTCTTAATATAGTCCGAGCTAGATGCAGCAGGTTTGACATGGTTCTATTCTTTATTTATGTGTTATTTCACACATATATATAGTTCGAGCCAGAGCAACGAGTTCCCAATGAGTTGCTGGATTGACAAAAGAGCAAGTACATCTATCTATGCGTGATGTATCACTTGTTATTGCCTGCTGTTCAACGACTATGTTTAGTAGCGATTGAAGTTAAAACAAAATGCAGATCAAGTAAGATATGCCCCAAAGAGAGAGCTTCGTTCTATCTATTTTTATTTTTATTTTTTTATCTTCACTTTCTTTTCCCACCCCTATTTTTCTAGCTAGCTTTCTATACTTCAGTTTATTAGGACTGAGAACTTCATAGATCTTAAATAATACTACTCCAATTTTCTAGACTGTATTTTCTTTCTTATTCTGAATTTCATAGAGTACATTTTGTTTGGAATACAATAAGATTTTTATCAGGAAAAATAAATTGGCTTCTTTGCTATCTTTTGCCATTATATATTTGTAGACACGTAACTTTTTGACCCTCCCCAAGATTTTACACATTTTAGCGTAAATATTTAATTTAGGTTAGTATAGCTCTCTTTTACTTTATTTTATCACAAAAATAAAAATTACAAAAAATATTTTCTCTTATCTAGCTCATTAATATTTTTATCTAGTTACTTTTAATTTATCTACCTTACATAAAATTCAAAAATACAAAAACAGTTCCAGGAATATTATTTTAATTTTACAATAATTTTTCCATTTTTTATCTTTTAGTATGATATTTGAAAAATACCAAAAATAGGTTTGTTTTTAACGGTTAGTTTTATTTTAATAGTTATTTTACTTGAGTAGGATTAATTAGTAAATGGTGTAGTATTTTTGATTTTGTTTTAGAAGAAAGAGTATGAAATTTGAGGCTAATTTTGTTTGGTCTTAATTGAGAAAAGCCCAATTTCGGATAGCCCAAAACACTGAGCCCATATCCATTCCCCATTTGACCTAACCTAATTCCTACTCCCTATAAAACTAAGACCTAGGAAAAACAAAAGAGGACGGACACCCAATTCCCAAAAGCAGCCGTTTCCCTCTCCCCAAAAAGATCTAATTGGAAAAGGATGTAATTCCATTCCACAAAATCTCCCTCGCCTCCCTTCATAACTCTGTTGTTCCCCTCTCAGCTCCCACATTATTACTTTATGATATAAAACAAAAGGAACAAACAAATCTCTACAAAAAACCAATCATTAGAACAAACAAACATAATCCCCAAAAAAAAAGGTAAAAAAACAGACTCCTCCTATTTTATGCGAACACAGCGCCCAACCCCTTTCTTTCTTAGATTTCCAGCCGGAAAATCCAAAGAAACGGCGACACTTGCTTTCAACAAAACTGCCACTACAGTGAAGTTGCACTAAAGTTCCGTCCGTCGAGTTCGCTGCCATCGTTGGAGTCTCGGTCATGGTTCAGTGATTCAACGGTCATCGACTTTTTGTCGGAGTTTGTCTCTGTTGCTATATAATTTGCTTTGGAGATAATTTTATCAAAAGGTTCGCCTCTCAAACTTGTTCTTAACTTCATACATTAGTGTTAATTTTAATAAATGTTAAATCAAGTTTGTGCTTATTTTGTGATAGAATGCCTTTTCTTTAGTTTACTATGTTGTTTGCTATGATGTCTACTAGATTTGATGTGTTAAGCATATTAAAATGGTGTCAGTTTGCTTTTTTTTTTTTTTTTTTTTTTTTTTTTTTTTTTTTATATAGTTTTATTAATATTGGCTATGACTCTTTTATTTGTAGTTTAAATGCAAATGAATATAAATATTGGGAATGAAGGCAAAGTTATAGAGTACAGTTTTCGAGGCCAAGAGGAGTTCGATGTTTAGTCTTTTAGGAATTATATAGCAATTAGGCAGTTGCCTATTTACCCATTGTTACGTGTATTTAGTGAAAGGAATATTTCAAATCAATAATAGTTTCCATTCAGGTGTAAAAAAAAAATGGGGCAAAGCTATCATGTAAGATCTTTGAAGCCTACAGTTTTATATTAGGCTACTAATGTGTACAATAACATCTAATGTAAGGCAAAAAATGAAATAATTTTAGTAATATAAACAAAGTGCGTCATCTCATTAAGATGCGACGTACACTATTGGAATTAATTAGCTTTAGGAAAATAGCTAATGAACATTCGTAGAAAATGCTTTAGGCGCGACTTAATAAATCATCGTAATTGTGTACGTGTTCGCATGACATAATTAAGATTTTTAAAATAAATCGAGCTAGGTATGCGTTCTCGCAACTTTGACCAAACTTTCTTAATATTAATAAAGCTTGATTAATTGTGGACACGTATGCGTGACATGATTCTTGGCGCGCCAGACGAAATGAGTACACATACGAGTGACTCATTTTAAGATGATTCCGTAACTATGAATAACCAAACAATGAATACACGTACGTGTGATTCATTTCAAATTAAAAAACGGTAAAAGGTAAAAGTTTACATAGGTTATAAAATATGTAATTAAAAAAATTTATTAAGCCAGGTATAACTATTAAAGCGACCGTGCTAGAACCACGAAACTCGGGAATGCATAACACCTTCTCCCCGATTAACAAAATTCCTTACCCGATTTTCTGTGTTTCGCAGACTGTAAAATAGAGTCAACTTCCTCGATTCAGGATTTTAAACCGGTGACTTGGGACACCATAAATTATCCCAAGTGGTGACTCTGAATTTGAATAAATAATCTCGTTTCGGTTATTGTGACTTTAATTGAAAAACTCCCTTATACCCCCTTTCCTGGGTAGAAAAAGGAGGTGTGACAGCTTTGGCGACTCCGCTGGGGATAAGAACCCTGAATCTCTGGTTCAGGGTTCAGAATTTGAGCTTGTTAATATGATATATGCTTGGCTTTATTGTTTATTGATATTACTGTATTTGTGGACCTAATGTGCTAATTGTCGCTTATTTACCGCTTTAATATTATTTGAACTCTATTAAAACTGTCTCCTTACGCCTACCTTCTGAGTCTTCTAAAAATATAGACACACGTTCGCGTGGCCCACTTTTTTGTTAGAAGTCATACCAAATAGAATGAGGCTTGGGTCAACAACTAGGTCGGGTAGACTTTCGTGCTCCCGGTACGCTGCCCCCATCTCGGCTTGAGTTGTCCGCTTGGGTAAGTCAGGTTTAGAACACAACCCCAGGTTTAAACTTAGAAAAACATAACCTCATGCCGGATCCCTAGTAGGAACGTTTGTTTGCATCGCGTGCATTTGACTTTGGGGACTCAACACATAGGTTGGGTCCGTCTAGAACAGATGTACACAAAATGAAAGACCATGCTGATGCACCTTACGTGCTATTTGTACATTTATTTGCTTCGGTTTGTATGTTGATCGGCTAAGGAAAGAAAAATAACAGAAAAACCAAGAGTGAGGTAGGATAGAGAATTCACCCGATTCTGAAAATTTCGATTTTTTGAAAATGTCTCGAAACTCTGTCAAAATTTTTTTAAAAAAAGGGAAAAGAAAATGTATTTCAAAAAAAATGAAAGTGAGTCAATATTATGTTTTTTCAATTATGTCAAAACTGACCGAATTACGCGAGTCTGATTCTCACCGAATGTGAGATACGTAGGCAAACCTTATCGGTTCGGACTCCAATTTTCAAAAAATCCAAAAATATTTTCCATTACTTCCTTCTTTAGAAAGTCTTTCTTTTAGACCCCAATTTTTAAAAAATACAAAATATTTTCTTTAATTTCTTCTCAAAATCCAAAAATATTTTCATTCTTCTTTCAAAAATTGAAAAGTAAATTCAAGATGCAAAAACATTTTCTTTTTTCTTTAGAAGTATTTCTTTCATAAATTCAAAATAAAAGTACAAAAATTCAAAAAAATCTTTCGTCTTTAGAAGTCTTTCTTTTCAAAAATTCTTTTTAAAACAAAAATCAAAATTCAAAAATATTTTCTTTCTTCTTTATAAATCTTTCTTCGGAAATTAAAAAAAATCAAAATCCAAAAAAAAGTTAGTTTATTTACTTTATTCATGATCTTCCCGAACTGTGCAAGATCTGATTCATGTTCCCACATGATACGTAGGCAACCCACATCGAGTTCGATTGAATGGTTAAAAACCAAAAAGAAAGAAAAACCAAAAAAAAAGGAGAAAGGAGAGAAAACAAAAAAAAAGAAAAGAGAAAAAAAAGGAAAAAAAAGAAAGAGTGTTTATTCTAACATGGTTGTTGTTTTGAAATAAAAGCTAGTCAAAGGTGGTCGGTTTGTTGGTTTGCAATGGCGAGTCACAAAAGCCATCCAAGATCTCTCGAAAATAAAAGCATCTTCTCAACCGATGGAGCAAACACCATTGTTGTTGATCCAAGGTCACGAAAAGGCAAGTAGGTAAGTTGGCGGTGAAAAATAAAAAAATGGAGGCAAATGTAGGGTTGACTTTACCCGATTTGACCAATAGGACATGGGCTGCTCGGGATGATTGTCAAAATTTGAGTGTTGAATCCAAAACAATTAAAATGGTCAAATGCCGTAGTAATGCTGATGTGCGAATGTATGGCTAAGATGTCGCTTAGTAACTCGAAAGTCACTCCTCCTTTAGCCATGGTAGCTTATTTTGTCGTCTTTTCTTCTTCTTTTTGTGTTATCAGACCCTACTATCCTTTATTTAATAAAAAGCAGTCAGTCATTTTGTGCATAGTTTGTTTCACGCTAGTTTTAGTGACATGACATGCATGCGGAATTTTTGGCCAGATCTTAGAAAATTGATTTAAGCTTGAATTGGACAACTGAGGAAAAGACACTTTTGAGGATGAAAAAGAGTTGAAATACCTTGGAATTAAGCCCAAGTAAAATTCAAGTGGAACTAAAATAGTCAGACCCATGGAG